ACTACTACTACTACTACTACAGCAGCTACTATTAGTGTTTGTGGTTGTATTATTATTATTACTAGTACGTGTACTAAAGTATTCTTATTCTTACTATTTACTAATACTAAATTATTTTTGGGACTATTGCAATTATGATTATAATTTTTGCTATTATTATTACTGTTATTGCTATTATTATTCTTACTTTCACTATCACTTTTACTATTATTGGTTATGCTTGCTATTGACATTAAACTATTACTACTACTTACTATTACTTACTACTACTACTTACTACTACTACTACTACTACTACTACTACTACTGCCTACTGCCTACTGCCTACTGCCTACTGCCTGCTACCTACTGCCTACTACTTTCTACACCACAGCAACAACTACTACCATTACCACTACTACTACTGCTACTACTACTACTACTGCTACTACTACTACTACTACTACTACTACTACTTCAACTACTACTGGTGTGACAAAACCATTACTACCACCACTACTAACTACTCCCCGGCACGGACAGCCAGATTTTTTCATTGCCAGGTTTACCAGACCCTTCGGATTCATGCTACCAGCTCATGTGAACAAGCATTCCGAATGCTGTCAAGGCCTTTGCGCGCTCACCACACTGCTCCAGCGGCGGGAGGCAGCGCGAAGTTCGAGAGCTTCAGTTGCAATGTCGCAGTTGCAGAAACAAGGCTGCCAGAGCAGCGCATGCCTCAAAACCTGCACCATTGATTGACAGGCAGTTTTCCAAAGGCCGATGGTTCGGGGTGGTGGCCTGAGACGCGATTTACTTTTCAGGTTGAGGATGCCGTGTGCGAGATGTGTTTGCTTCAATGCTTACTGGGCCTGCTGCTCCATCATGATCGGCATTGAGCGATGGCACGGAGGGCATGTTGGAAAGTACTTTGGATCACAGTCACATCAGCTAACTTTCTTTTCTGCGGCACGCCATCCAATTCTGGTTAAGGACAACTTTAAGCACAGTTGTTCAGCTTTAGACCCCAGTAGTACTAGCATGGCCCGGACACCGAGACACGAGATGCCATGACGTTGAAATGAGCGGGGCATTCGGGCAGCGGAACATCGAAACACTGGACGCCTAGACTCTAGACAGAGACAGCGTGACGCCCGCACTTCGACACGTCGGGTCACCAGGTTGCGACAGCGGAACCGACACGTGATGGTTGGTGGATGTTGGTGGGAGAACCACCCTAAGGCACACGGGACACCGGCAACGAGCCGCTTAAAATCTCCCGGAAGACCGGCATACAGGTACTGCAGGAACAAAGCCCAGCCGGAGAACCATGTATCTGCACATGAGAAGGTCTTTGGATTCTTTGGATGTTCCGGGCTTGCGGTCGGAATGTGCTCTCAGGTACTGGGATGGGTATGCTGACGGTGCGGGCCCATGTACCGGTGAGGCTTGGGCTAAATCGTCCTTGCAAGCGTGGCCAAAGGAATCCGGGATCCAGCTGGTTTGCTATGGCCTCAGACGTCATGAAGGTGATTTGCAATGATTGTGTCGAGCTGCACTTGTGGGAGACTTCAGCGCTGCCATGTATTGCCCTGTACCCTTTTGATCTTGGCCCACCGCTACTGATACAGTACTGATGCCGCTCACCCCCCTTGGAGTAAAGAAGGATCAACACTGCACGAGCTCAAGGTCGAGGCAGCTTTGTTACAATTACACCCAAACATAATCAGGGGTTCTGCAGGTCAACAGGAAGCAGCCCGGATCACACACTTCCGGTACACGTGAATCCGCGTCAAGTTGGGCTGTTGTGCGGGGTACAAATTCCCCTTTGCTTCCCGCCAAAGCGCGTCTTCCTTCGTGACACTGCTCGGCAAGCATCACCCTGCCTGCGTCAATCCAATGTTGAGCACATACTGCAACCATCAACCGTTCAGGAGCTGGCGCATCCCCCCATCAGTGTTAACTTCGACACGGCCTGACTTTCTCACTTAATGAGATTTTTCGGGCTGCTCCTTCAGTATCCTAAACTTTAGCAGATAAGAAGCTTCTAGAGCATGGTGGAAGTGCCACAGCTAGGTCGAAGACACAGAACGGGCAAAGGCCTGCTTCAAAGCCAGAAGCTGGGAGCTGAGGGCATTGGCTTGGGCGCCATGTATGATTCTCTTCAGCGCAGGAGCAGAAGAGCATTAAAAGGATCAACAGTGGTGCTTACTGGGATGCGGAGCAATGGGACCCAGACCAGCGCCGTGTGCCCAGGACAGCCTTCTCACCCTGCACTCCCAAGCCTTGCTGCGTGAGGCGTGTACGTGGGTGCAGAGGCCGGGCTCAAAAACCACCTCCAGGCTTGGTTGCTGCATGTCCCGGTATGTCCCAGTCCATCCAGATGTCAGGGCACCTCAGGGCCGTGCTCGCGTTTCACAAACCGGGGCCAGTCGCTTGTGCGGCGCACAACAAGGGAACGACGAAGACGTGCATCGGCTCTCTGCAGCGCTCGATGGGATTCCAGCCGGCACAGTTTTTAACCGGACATTCCAGACTGCCGATACAGCGTGCTCGGCACCTATTTAGGAGCTTCGCCAGGCTGGTACGTCGCCGGCAGTGCCGCACCGGGTCGGAACAGACATCGCATGAAAACGGCCCACGGCAACGACGATAGCTGACAGAGAACCTGGCTGGCAAGCATCTCTGGGAGTCGCCGGGGCTCGGACGAAGCAGCTTGGATTTCGGGTCCGATCGACATGAACGCATGTAATCCTGCGAGCACAAGCTGCCTGCATCCCTGGAATTCTCTTGAATTCTCTTGAAAGGCATGATCACGCAGTCTGCAGCTAATGGGAGGGAAAAGCGCAGGCAGTCGATCCATCCAAAGATGCAGCCGGCGTTTGGCGAGTCTGGGCTATGGCCTCAGCTACACGGGAACATTCATGCACTGATATGAGCCAATGCGACGCTCGATGCTGGAGGCAGGTGGTTTGGCAAGTCTGGCTCTAGGCTACGGCGAATCTGCCGGACCACCGACTCTTGGCAGACTCAAGGTGCCAGCCGGTGGTTTCACATCTCTCGTGATGCTCTACGTAACAAACTGTAGCTGCACATGCCCGTCTGCTCTTCATGGGAGTGCCTCGGAGAAAAGTTGAGGCTGCTCATGCTCGTTTCATGCTCAAGCATGTAGCGCATTCAGCGAAGCTTGCGAAGCGAGCTGTTTGCAACAACTTTGTCACATGGCGAGTGGCAAAGCTCATCCAGATGAGCCAAGCCTGTGGAACGACAATGATGACAGTGCCAAAATCGGGAGGCTTTTCGCTCAAATCAAGATCAGATGGGACACCTTTCTCGCGGAGAAGCTTGGGCGCAAGGATCAAATATCGCATGAAAGTCAGAAAATGAAAGAGATTGCAGCAATTATGCGTACATTCGACAACGGTGTCGTAGAGGAGGAGGAGGAGCAAGACAAGATTTGGGTGGACAGTGCGGCATTTGACATAGTCATTAGCTGCATCATCGTCTTGAACGCCTTCATAATTGGCCTTGAGACAGATGTGAGACGCGACTCAAAAGAAAGAGATGCTAGCTGGATTGTGGCTGAGGTTTTCTTTCTGCTCTGCTTCTTGGGCGAAGTTGGTCTCAAGATGTATTACCACACATGGCGGTGGGCATTTTACAGTTTCTCCAACATACTAACGATCTTCATTTGCTTCATGGCCTTCATTGATTGCACGATCTTGAACCCCATAGGGGTATCTGGCGTGCTTCGAATGTTTTCCATGTTTCGCATTGTTGGCATCTCGCGGCTGTACAAGCTGATCAAGAGGTATCGCCGCTTGGATGAGCTCCGGCTCCTTCTGCAGAGTTTGAAGGATTCGATGCAAACGCTCTTCTGGACTGTGGTTCTCCTGGTCGTGGTTCTCTACATTGCTGCCGTGATTCTAACCCAGCAGATCGGCCATAACGTCGAAGTGTACGGCAACTACCGAAAACTTAGTGGTGGTTGGGATCACGAGGAGTTGTTCGGAACGGTGGGACGAAGCATGTTTACCTTAATGCAGGTCATGACTTTGGACAGCTGGCTCAGCAAGGCCGGGCCGTGCACGGGACATGTTGGTTCCTTGTGACTACCTCGCCCCCGCGACCCAGAGCTTCAGAGTTTGCCCTAGCCCCGACAATGTACCTAGCGACCAAGCGGCCTTCACCTTATGGCCACTTATAGATATAGTTGACATGAAAGTACGTAAGGTGTGACGGTGGTGGGAAGGGGTAGGGGCGGGGTTACTACTTGCGAGTGTTTTCCTCCGAAGATGTGCGTGTGTCAGACGATTGTTTCTGGAAGATAGCTTTCCATTCTTTAGCGTAGATGGCATTGTTTCCATGAGTTGCCCCATAACACTTCATCAAAGTCCTTGCTATTCCTTGCTGCCATCAAAGGCTCTGTACATCCCAGTTCCATGGATGGGCAACATGAGTATGGATGTGTATGGTGCTTACAGTAGATGTTGGTGGTCGTTCGCCACGCGCGTCCATTGATGGCTTTTTATGTTAGAGCTCTTCTGCTCCCCAGTTTTTTATTGCGTTTGGATTGTACAATTCAGTTGTTCTTGGTACGCATTTGTATAGATACACATATAGACAAATAGATAGACACATGTGTACATGGATACACAGTGCACAGGTCCTGACGGGTGATGAGTTAGTCGGCGGATGCCCATGAAATATCTCTGGGCATACCCTGGGTGATGAAGATGCACAGACAAAGCCTTTTGGCGGTTCCTTGTTTTTCGGTAACCGTGCTTATTTCAGTATTGAGTTCGAAGCGGGGACGTGCACTGTCTATGTGTTCTCTTTCTTTCTTATACGTATGACGTATGTATATTGTGTGTATATATATGTATATGTATACGCACATGTATATCCCCAAGGTGCGTGCCTGGCAACTGTGCATTTACCATTAGTCACAAACCATGGGCACTCGCTGATGTAATCGCATGAGTTAGTGAATGTACATGTACATACACATGTGTGCATACGTGTATTTCTAAATCTATATAACATGTGCACGCTTCTGTGAGTGCCTGCCCTGCGTGCGTAGGCATGTGTATATGTGCATACATTCACATTTGCTGGGTGCATGCAAAAATAACCACGCAAGCAATGAGCAAGTATGCATATACGTACCGCTGCGTGCACCCATGTGTGTATTCAATGCTACACTACGCTACACCTTGAGGTCTTCAGGCGGGGCAGGATCCCGAGACTGACGGCATCATAACAAGACTGCAAACGTTCAGACGCAAGCGAAATCATTAGGAAACGCAAAACTATCTGTACAATTTATGACATCCACGAGCTTGGGTCATTCCCCCCTGTGTGTCCAGGTGGTGCGACATGTGGCCGTGAACCAGTGGTACATGATCGCATTCTTTTGTGTTTTTCTTCTTGTCACGACCTTCGGCATTATGAACATCCTGGTGAGTGTCATTGTGGAGCAGACGTTGGCAGCTTCACTTCAGAACAAGCAGCGTCTACGAGTCCGCGAAGAGAAGGCGCAGCGTGCCGAGCTAGACAGTATCAAGGAGATTTTCTTGATTTCAGACACAGACGGAAGCAACAGCCTGGACCGAGATGAATTTCTTGCAGCCGTGAAGAATCCAGAGGTGCAGTGGCGAATGAAGATGCTCGAGCTGCCGGTAGCCGAAACAGTTAAACTCTTCGGCGTGCTTGACGGAGATGGTTCACAAACACTCAGCTACACCGACTTCATCCAGGGCTGTGCGAAGCTAAAAGGCCACGCGATGAGCAAAGACATGCTGGCGGTCATGGCGCAGGCATGTGGTTTCCAAATTGCTGAGCTAAGTACATGACAGCTTCTCTTGCATAGCAGCCGTCGCAAACCAGCAAGCGTGAGAAAACACGCAGCGAGAAATTGCATGTTTTGTACACAATACTAAGGCGTAGGGTGCCCTTTCAGGCAGATGCACTTGCAACGAAGATGGACCTGATGGATGATTCACTTGCCGAGAGCGAGCGCATGGTGGCGGGCCTGGATGAGATTTCTTTGCGAATTGTCCGACGTTTTGAGTCTGCTGTCGTGGGCTCTCGTCGCCGCATGGCTCATGCAGCCGGAGGCTCCAAGCCCATCGTCCCACCAAAGCGCGACGGTCCCGGAGGGGACAATGTGCCTCTTTCAGTTGGAAATCGACCCAACTTGCCACCCTTCCCGGATCTGTTACGATGAGAAAGTAGACTCAAGTCGTCTCACAAAACATGCAATGCTGATGACAGTCGCATCGGCTGGACGGTCGATCGCACCTTCATTTCTGGTTGTCGCGTTTTGTTTGTGCACGCTCTGCTGGCGAAGCCAACAGGACACCAAAGTTGCTGGAATTCAAGCCCTTGGTCGATACGCGCACTGCCGAAAGCGAGCATGAAAAATGCCAGACTGTAGTTTGCAGCAGCGATATGTAGCTGCCACCTGCCACATTTCCGAGCTCCGGTCAGGTGCAATGTTTCTGACGATACAGGCGGAGTAGAAGGCGTCATGTGCTTCCGCTTGTAAGGATCGACTTGAAGATGCGGGACCCCGACGACAAGACGAAGCTGCAGGCATGCAACCGCTCCGTCAGACCTTGCATATGGACTTCTGTGAGCAACACCTGCGCTTGCTCCATCTCGACTTGCTGGAGGACTTGTATGAGATCCTTGACCAGCGCTGTGCTTAAACGGTTTGGACATGTGATTGCAGTCGTCGGGAAGCACCGTCAAGTTACGGGACAGCCAACAAGAAGTGCGCATGACAACTGAGGTCTGTGGGGTCAGGCAGCTTTGGCATCGTACGACGATGTAAGCACAAAGGCCAGATTCTTTTGAGCGCAATTTTGCAGACGGGCAAAAAAGTTCTGAACACCCTTAATTAAGTCGCATGCGTTCACACAGTCATATGACACATATTTTGGGCCGATATCGTTTCGTTAAGTTGGTTTGGTTTGGTCGAACAGCGGCGGAACTTTGACGACGATCAGCTGTGGCCAGAAGCGAAGCAACACCTGCTGCCAATGCAGCCTCTAAATCAAAGGGCAAAAGAAACCTCTTTTCACTGACCGTGCTGATGAGTGAGGCTTCCCTGAGCGGGGACTGGTTGGCACAAGTTCACCTTCCCCTCGTAGTCTCTCGCGTTTGCGTTGCAGCGAGCTCTCTCCTAAGGCTCTCTGTCTGGAGCCAACCAACATGCGCCTTTCAAATTGGAAATGGGCATGCAAGAAATTAATCGGCGCCCTGGCATTCCAGCCTAGCTTCAATGCTGATGCATGTCTCCCATCGCAGTTCAGAGGTTTGGAAGAGAAGACCTGCAAAGAGGTACGCTCCACAATGTCGTGAAAACAAAATCAGAAAGCACAATATAGTAAGAGGATGTAAGAGGCTTGAATTTTCTATGAGAACTAGGAAATCTCCAGTGAGAAGGATGCCTGGAACATGACAGGCTTGAAGTGACACTTGTGGCCGCTGCAGCTTGCTGATGCAATTGCCGTGGCCATACCTTTACGCGCATCACAGGTGCACATGCATGTGCATTATACACATATATGCCTGTCTGTCTGCATATTAGATATACATACATGCATCCATACACCCATGTGTGCAGCAGCGTCCGTAGGTGTGTATGTACGTACGTATGTGTGAGTCTTTATGTATGTATGTATGTATGTATGTATGTATGTATGTATGTACGTATGTGTGTGTGTGTGTATGTATGTCCTTATGTATGCATGTATGTATGTATGTATGTATTCAGGTATTCAGGTATGTGTTCGTGTGTATATATATATATACACATATACAACATACATACATATACATATGTATCTCTCTCTCAGTCTCTCTCTCTCTCTCTCGTTGTTCAGTTGCTTCGTCATTCGCCAACTGGAAATGGTCTCTCACAGAACACAGTGCGCTGCAAATGACTGGTCGGTCTCTCGGAACTTATCGGTGGCCCTCAGAACCCTTAGAAGAGCACTTCTGATGCCCGGATCGTGCTTGTAAAGATCGTGCCCTTGTCCGTTTCGAATGTTTCGAAGATGCTGATGTTGATCTGATGTGGCGCATGTGGTGCGTCCATGATTGAAACTGGCGACACCGAACTAATGTGCTAGGCACAGACACCGAGTGTGTCATCAAGACGGTTCGGAAGGACGCCGCGGGAGAACGGCATCTCAGCTCATTTTTTGCTAAACACATCACAGACCCCAGGCCAACAGCAAGGGCGTATTTTTCTTCATCATGGTTTACATTGTTTTCCGTCGAAGCATCCAGGTATCGCGCCCTGCTTGTCGACCGCCGTTTGGGTGAGAAGCTGCTCCGCATGTCCAAGGAGGACAGAAAAGAAGGAGAGTGATCACTCATTCCGAACTCTCGACCAGCTCTTTGTGCGAAGGCCAAGCATCCCAACATCGCAGTGTACCTCGACGTGCTGGAAGGGGCCACGAACTTCTATGTCATCATGGAGGCGCATGCCTGTCTTCTACACGCTGGAGCTCGGCGTAGACTCTCCGTGATTCCCCCCCAATCAACCAGCGGGCGAAGTCGGATGCTGCCTGAGTGTTCCAAGTTTCTTGCCTAGTGAGTCCCGTCATCTGGTTTGCCACACCGGCAGTGACATCCAGGGTCAAACAGTTTCAACACCATCAGAGCGAGCGAAACACCGGACAAAGTCCTGTTCAACTACTGAGCGTGTTGCAGCCCGCGTAGAGCTTTCTGATCACGAGTGGCGATGACGGTGTCCCGAAATCATGTCATGGGAATGTTGTTTTGTGATTGTTTTGTTCTAGTGATTCCCTCTTTACCGGAACGGTAGCATGCGGCCATTGGGACCGCCGAGTCAGCCCCGCCAGCCACAGCTGACGCCTGAGGCAGGCAACCGCGTTGGACTGCGGCCCGAGCAATCAGCCACAACTTCTGTCAAAACAAAGATTTCGATGCTGGATACCCCATTCGAGTATGCGACAATCCCGAGACGCCACACAACAGGGGAATAAACAGAAACCCAGGGACTTGTGTGACTTCGGTGCTGCCACTGCAGGGGCTACCTTCTGCAGACAGTGAGAACTCTGTATCCTTTCAGAGCATACCCTCTGCTACCGGTCCCTGTAGGGTAGACCACAGCATGCGAAGACAGTAATGTCAGATGGCAAGGGATACCCGTACACGATAATTCACACGCCCACACACTTTTACTTGACATACAGGCCACCGGCCAACGCAGCTCCTAATATGTTGTGAGTGTCATCCCATTGTCGGCTTGGCCTCCTGCCGTTCTGCCAACGTCGCAGTAAATCTGCACACTGTTGGACACAAGCACCGCGAAGAAACAAGACTATGTCACTGCCAGTTCCTATCTGCACACACACGAAGAAGAGTGATCAACCAAATGCCATAGCCGGCTGGAAGCCTGCTACATCCATCTGAATCTTGACTGGTGAACCTTTGTGGTGGACCTTTTCCAGGTCCTCACAAAGCAGGTACACATCGGTGAACCGATGCTTCCCTCACCATACCATAGCTTCGTTGCGTTAGGTAGGTATCGTGAGGTTCACCCCTCACTTGTGACCCACCGCAGGGCCTCGCCTGTGACCCGAAGTTCCCCCTCACTTCAGACCCTGGCTTTGCGGTTTAGACTAGTTACTAGTACTGCTAGTACTAGTGCTCGTACTAGTAGTAGTCGTGGTAGTAGTAGTAGTAGTAGTAGTAGTAGTAGTGGTAGTAATTAGCAGTAGTAATTAGCAGTAGTAATTAGCAGTAGTAATTAGCAGTAGTAATTAATAGTAGTAGTAGTAGTAGTAGTAGTAGTGGTAGTCGTAGTAGTAGTAGTCGATGCGGTTTAGCAAATTTACGTTTTACGCGTTTACGAGGTTGCGTTGTTATAGTCTCCATCGTAGTTCCTTCCTTGGGGCTACCTTATAGGAGCCTAAATGCATAGTTGGATGAACCCCAAAAAAAGAACTACAATGTAGACTAAGTAAGAAACCCTAAAACGGAAGGCAGATGAAACCCTAAAAAATAAAGTGTCGAAGGCAGATGAAAAAAGTGCCGAAGGCAGATGAAACCCTAAAGTGTCCAAGGCAGATGAAACCCCTAAAGGCAGATGAAACCATAAAGAGTCCGAGGCAGATGAAACCCTAAAGTGTCCAAGACAGATGTGTCGAAGGCAGAGCTGTCAAGCATCTGCAGTTCGCAAGTCCTATCAAACTCCCAACGCCCTGCAGTGCTTGCCGACCGACAGCTGAAAATACTGACCAAGCATCTCGAATGTGGGTGGGATTTCAGAATTCAGCTTGCTTCACAACAGAGGGCAGCGGCGGGAGGATGTTTTAGCTAAGACACCACAATTCCTGGTTGGGCCCAACTGGTCTGAAGGCTGAACATCTGCGAGGCTCAACAACGGAGCGATGCGTGGGAAACCAGCCTTGCAAAAAATCGCTCAGGATCGCTGTTGTGTTGTATCGAGCATTGCAAATCTTCGGTACTGGTGAGCCGACCAGGCCAATGGAGCCGGTCAAGGTTCTGAGCCGTACAGGGTTCAATGCAGTAGGCACTCCTACCGTAGGCGGCGCATGGAACAAAAGCCGTCTAGATACACACTTGCGCAGTCCTCCTTCTGACTTGGTCTTGTCTCCTATTTCCTATTTTCAGAAGTAAGGACCGGCTAAACAACAACAACAACAACAACAACAACAACAGCTCTGAATATGTGGCCACCAGCTATGGACGACGCCATCATACACCAGTGGGGGCATCTGTATTGGGAAGTGTCCCGCAGCGAGAGCCCCTGCCCCTTGCCTGCAGGCGAAGCATGCGAAACACAGCACTTGGTAACAGGGTTTCCCACACACGCACAACAGCGTCAATGACGAAGCAGCGGTGAATAAAGCATCGCAGAGACCATCAACAGTCAAGATTTCAATACTGTTTGTTTGCTCAAGGTGGAGGGGGGGCTTGGAAAAGAGCAAAACAGGGCTGTACAGTGATATCTCTCAGCACGGTTTATGCAGTTGTTCCTGCACAGTTTGAATTGCGTTCCCGGCTCATTCATCCCAACGCTGCGGTGCCTCTAAAGGCCCGACTGAGTCAAACGCACGAAAAGAAGAAATACAAGCAAAGGCTTGGAAAATGGCTCCATCGTCAAAAAAACAAAGCTTCAAAAGAGAAAGGATTCTACCTGCGGGAAGGTGCCTCCATAGGCAAGAGAGCAAACGTCCCAACTCGTGGTGCGTCCGAGTCGAACCAGGCGTCCGTTTTTTTGTTGGGGGGTTACCGGAGGCATCTTGCCGGATATATAGTCAAAACATCATAACCACGCAGTTCATGTGCCACTTCACTTGCACAGCCGAGGAACCCCCAAATCCCGCAACAGCCGACAAGATTTCGAGAGTCGGGAACCCGAGACGCTTTGGGGTGAAAGTTTCCGGCGTCGAAACTTCACGGTGCTCATTCTTCAGCCATACCTATATGAACATCCACACGAGCCGGCTTGGACTTGCTCCACAATTTTTGCATGTCAAGCTGTTCTGGCATGTTCCGAAAACTCAGCACTCATATTGATTTGAACAGATGCCGGCTCTAGGAAGTTGAAGCAATTGTGGCACTCCTACCGTAGACGGCACATTGAACAAAAATCGTCTAGATACACGCTTGCGCAGTCTTGCTTCTGACTTGGTCTTGTTTCCTATTTCCTATTTTCAGAAATAAGGACAGGTTAAACAGCGACAGCTCTGAATATGTGGTAACCAGCTATGGACGACGCCATCATACACCAGTGGGGCATCTGTATTGGGAAGTGTCCCGCAGGGAGAGCCCCTGCTCCTTGCCTGCAGGCGAAGCATGCGAAACACAGCACTTGGTAACAGGGTTTCCCACACACGCACAACAGCTTCTATGACGAAGCAGCGGTGAATAAAGCATCGCAAAGACCATCAACAGTCAAAATTTCAATACTGTTTGTTTGCTCAGGGTGGACGGGGAGCCTTGGAAAAGAGCAAAACAGGGCTGTACAGTGATATCTCTCAGCATGGTTTAGTTGCTGTACAGCTTGATTTGCAAGACCTGCTCATTCATCCCAACGCTGCGGTGCCTCTAAAGGCCCGACTGAGTCAAACGCACGAAAAGAAGAAAGGATTCTACAGGCAAGAAGGTGCCTCCGTAGCCAACAGAGCAAACGGCCCAACTCGTGGTGCGTCCGAGTCGAACCAGGTGTCCGTTTTTTGTTGGGGGGGTTACCGGAGGGATGTTACCGGATATATAATCAAAACATCATAACCACGCAGTTCATGTGCCACTTCACCTGCACCCCAAATCCCGCAACACCCGACAAGATTTCGAGAGTCGGGAACCCGAGACGCTTTGGGGTGAAAGCTTCCGGCGTCGAAACTTCACGGTGCTCATTCTTCAGCCATAACTATATGAACATCCACACGAGCCGGCTTGGACTTGCTCAGAATTTTTGCATGTCAAGCTGTTCTGGCATGTTCCGAAAACTCAGCACTTATATTGATTTGAACAGATGCCGGCTCTAGGAAGTTGAAGCAATTGTGGCACAAGGCTCACAAGACCATGTGCACATGAAAGGAGCACGGGCCCACTTGGCAGGGCAAACGAATTGGGCTCGTTCCGCGACTGAAGCGTTTGTCACAAGGGGCAGGCATGGGGCCGAGTGCTGTCCCCGTCGAAATTCAAGACATTGCAAAAGTTTTGCCGATTGAGCCCAATCAAAATCGCGGCGGCCCGACTGCGAAATAGATGGCAGACTTTGCTGAAGGCATGCGTAGCCCTGTCCAGGAGTTGACAGGCGCCGAGCTGATGGACCAAGTGGAGGATGAGGGCTTGTCGAGCGAAGCAGCAACAAAACTTCAGTAACTTTGGTGATCCAAGTTTTCGCGCTGTTTGGAAACTGGCATTCATATGGAGAGAGGGAGATCGTGGCATTGCAGTGGATACAAGCACAACTTGGTCCAAAAGTGTGATCGACAGCCGATCTGCATGCTTGCGCAGGAGCTCTTCCCCGTGACCGAGGCTATTTCAAGCGCGCGACCGCTCCAGTTTGCAGGCAGTTCTCCATTGATGCAACTGCCAGGCTTACCTGCAAAAGGTCATGGTGGAGATTTTGCGAGCATTAGCGCCGAATGCCTATAGCATGCATGCTTGTCGTGTGAACTGAAAGAATTTGGTGAGGCTCCAACCCGAAAGGGTCTTGACGGGAGCTACTTTGCATGAAACGTGAAATCCGTAAGGCATCTTCATGATGTCGTCGGGCTGCTGCACAGAGACGCCCAGCGCTCAGGTGCAGTGGGTTCGGACATGGCTTCTGCCAGCTGTTGCGCTGAAGATCACTGGACTTTCCGACCAGCAAGGAATGCATGATGCAAGACTCCGTATGTAGTGTGATTCATTTCATTTGGGCGCTCTTGTCAGGTTTCACGGTTGCAGGCGCAAGCAGAGAGCAGGATTGACGAACAGCAGTTCTAGACCGTGAGAAACAGATGGCCAGGTCTCGCACAACATCGACAACGGCACACGAACTCACCGGTTTGTAACGTTTTCGTGGAAACCGCTTACGTGCTAACAGTCCGTACTGTGAAATGGACGGTTCATCGACGATGCTAGTCCTGCTATGAGCCTGGTTAATCCCAATATGCAGCCACTCGTTGTGTTGATTTATGTGGTTCCGGTGTCGGCGCTTTAAACGACACTTGATTTGAAAGTGTGATGTATTAATTAAGCGAACAAGTACGGACAAATCAGGACAAATAGCTGCAAGCAGCCGGAAATGCAAAATTGTCAGCTGCCCGATAAACTGGTAAACGAATGATTCGTCTTTACTTGCTCCTCGTGGTTTTATGTCACTTATTTAGCCCGCCCCTTGTCTTTCTTATGTGCAACTGAGAAATGTGTATTTGCATCTTGCTGTTTTTCCGTATTTGCACATTGTTTGCTTGTTAAGTTGTTGTGCCTTACTTTGTCTTTTTGCAGCTTAAGATGGCTTATGGTGCCGTAGTGTTGTCATGTTCGTTTATTGCTTCCTTACATGAATATTTCTTCTTAGATGCGTCTGAGTTGCATCTGACTTTGCCTTTGTAACCCTCGTTCTTGATCTGTCGTTGCCATTTCTCTCCTCTTCATTTGCACATGTGCTGCTTCCTTATTTGCCCATTCATCTGCACCTCGTTTATCAACTCAAGCTGAGTGGAACAACCCTGCGGACAGGAGTTCAGACCAAGCAAAAGAATCTAGTGACACTTACTTAGGCCTTTCATGATAAGCTTGCGAGGCGTGTACCAGACAATTGGTCGCAGTTAGGGAGGCCTGGACAATGTATAAATTAAACCCGGACAAAGGTTACAAAGAGTTTGTATCTTCGTGGCAGTTTTCGGGGCAGGCAGGCCAACGGAGTCTCCATCGAGGGCCGTATTCCTTGTCTGCAAGACACGGTACATCCCACGGCACAAGTCTCGGATCTCTCGGATCTACACATCCGCAGTCAGATCAGTCTTTCAGCCAACTCCCATGATGACGGTGGTGCGGATCTGATTGGCTACCCCTTTTTTCGGCAGTGCTGGCTGGGCGGCCCGTGAGGCACTTCAATGCTGTGCACGCTAGCTGCTTTCCGAAGATGGCAAAGCCGAGTCCGAAACTACGAACATCAGAGTGAAGCCTGTGGCCCAAGGTCAAGCTCTCCAATTTCCGATTTCGAAGCAAGGCACACTTGCGGTAAGAGAGGTGGGGCTGCACACTGCGGCCCACTTTGCAGGCTGAAGACGCTCCCCTTGCATTGCTGGACTTCGGCTTCGCCATGAGCCTCGGTGCCAGTCACAGCGGAGCAATTTTGTTGACAGTTCGCTTCGGTGCTGCATGGTTCTCACAGTGAGGCGAGGCATGGGATGGCGCAGTTTGTGGGACGTTGATGTTTATGGCTCCAGAGGCTTCCGTGCTACCGAAGCACCGCTCCAGCATCCCCACACTGTGCCGCAAATGTGTCAGGTGGTGGGCGCCAAAGCTTCAGCACCCTACCTGGCAGCCATGGACTTGTGGGCTGCACCTCGTCCAATCATGTCCGATGCTGGCTCAAGGTTGGTTTTCGCTTGACGTTCGCAGCATGCTAGCCTCCCGTTCTTCAGCCATGAGTGGCCTTTCTTGCCAAGGCTGGTGTTATTCTTTACGTGTTGCTCACGGGGGATTCGCACGAGGCTCAGCGGTAAATGGCATGTAGGACACCATGAGTCTGTTTTCACCGGCGACTGAAGTACTCTAGAGTCTAGAGCTTAACTAGTTGCCGATAGCGTAGGTCAAACCATGTCAAACCCATGAGCATGACTTTGTTTCTCTTGAGTGAGCCTCCGAGGCCAGCCAATGAGGAGGAGGCGTCAGTGGGAGACGTTCACGCACCTGCCGCAATCGAGAAAGAGCAGAGTTCGCCGTGCCAACCAGCGAGCATAGTGTCTGTCTGTGGAGCTTCGGCAGTCCGTGGAACGCAGATTCGGGCGGGAAAGCACCGAAGTATGAACCTCATCCCAGTTTTTTCCCTTCACGACCAGACGAGACCAATCCTTTGGTCACTTCAACCACGGGGATGCCAGCACCCGAATCTCACCCACACGTGGACCTGGAACAAGGGAACTTGAAGCAGACTTCAAGCAACTTGTGTTTGGTGTGGTTGATGCGCCAGGACAAAGACAACCTTGATCTGACGTCCGATGCCTCTTCGTTCTGGTATCTACTTGTTTCGTATACCGGCTCCACATTTATACATCTTCGGTCGCAGGATTCGCAAAGAGGCCGATCCTCGCGCAAGCAGCTGGAGCAGGGCAGGTGATTGAACATGTTAGGTTAGGAGTTGTGGACGACTCACACGGCACAACCCGAAAGCATTGTGAATCACGCGTGTTTTGCAACTTACTTGACGCGGGATGGTTACAGGCAGCTTCTGCGAGTCAGCTGCACCTCTTTCTGCAGCAGCTTGCCTGGCCTGGGAAGCGAAAGCACAAGTTCTCACCATTTCAGAGCATGCAAAAAGGCCGAGCAAAGGCTGCTGCACTGCAGGCAATGTGGCCCTCCTTTGCATCCCTGACAGGCTGAACATACAGCCGAGCGAAGAGAAACTCAGGAATTCTTCGTGTTTGTGCTTGTGGTGCCCAGTGTTTGGCGTGGGAGGGTGCGTGTCCTGATGTGCGAATCTTGTGGATGACTGTGGGTGATCGAGTGGACAGCGTCTCGGATCGTTTCTTCGATTCTCATCATGATGGTGACGGTGTCACGTGAACCACTCTGCAACTGCAGGTGCGAAGACTTGGCCGTGGAGGCAGTGAAGCTGGCTTGGCCCAGCCCTTGGAACCCTCTATTCCTGGTTGTTGCTTGTACTCCTGTATCGTCTGTTGTTTTGTAGTTGCTTGGAGTGTCGCTTCCACATGCTTGCCGGGTTTCTCGTTCTATACCAAGTTCTGCCCAAGCATGACCTGAGTGTCTTGGCTTGCTACAGGTTTTGTCCAAAGCACTGGCGGCGACGGAGTTGAAGGCGGCATCAGCCGAGTCTTTGCAACTGCTGAAGCAGTTGCTCGTGCTGGACAGCTGGGTTTGCTTGCTTTTCCTGCTGATGTTCATGGTTTCCAGCAGTTCTAGCAGCAGATAGAAATCGGCGGCTAGGACCCCTCCCAGCGAACGACAGCGGAGCAAGCCCTCAAGCACCCGTGGTTCTCTACGGATGGTGAGCAGCACAAGGTGAACGTGTCCGGAGCTTGATGATATAGTCAGCGATAGACACGACTGCTACGAGTGTTGGTGGCCTTTCATCTCAGGCCAAGCTCGAAGTATCGGCTCGCCCGATCTGCAAGTAGGAACTCGGAGGCCTCACGGGACGAAAAGATTGGAAGATGTGATGTTGTATGTAAAGCCACGACAGGTCCTGACTCCCAGAGCATGGAGCCAAATTCGAGAAAAATCTACGAAAAAGCCACAAGCCTACAGATTGTACAAGCGTGCGTTTCGTTTCTGTTCCTCTTTCTCGGCTCTGGGATCTTGGGCTTCCTGGCTGCTGAGGCTGGATCTGCCCCAAACCTTCGCGCCACTCGAGCGGATCGTGTCTGAGGGAGTCGACGAAATGAAAGATTGATCGAACAGCCTACAGGACTTGCCGAAATGTTCTTCAATCCTGCAAAGCTGAGCCCTTGCCATGCATTGCCTTTTGAAGCGCAAAGAGATGTTGGTAATCGCTCGAACTGAGCAGATTTCAAATTCAGCCTACTTCCACAGCGGCAGCGAATAGTCGGCTGCCAGGAGAGTGCACAAGCACCTCGGGAGCATCTGGTTTTAACATGTGGAGCTGCAGTTTCTAGCTGAGCATGGACCGATGATGCAGGACAAAATCGTTTCGAGCGCGTTGAAGTCGAAATGACGTCCACGTGGCTAGCAGCGTTGCCACACAGATGCCGCAAGCCGCAAGCAATGAGTATCATGGGTTCAGAAGGCCAAGCACCTGCGATATTTGCGGCGGCATGTTTCGGCACAAGGGTAGATTGTGAAACAGCTCTGGAGGCATTGACTGCCATGAGGATAGATGCCCACAGGTTTGGTGACCACCTGGCTTGAGGAGAAGGCAATGCTGAGTCTTGATGTGCTGATTTGTTGATCCTTGCCCTTGCTCTCCATGTCGTCGCAGGGCTTCGGGTTCATTGCCCCGGACGATTCCAATCTTGGCGACCTCTTTGTCCATGTCAGCGAGCACATTCCTCGGTCAGACAGTCTGTAGTTGAGGGCAACAAGGCACAGAAGGCCAAGCCGACAGTCTTCTTGTCTTCCTCTGGCTACGAACATATCAAAGGTATCTAGGGCTCAGTTGTCGGGATCCCCAGTGTCTATTTTTGGGTGTTTTCAATCTCATAGAGCTTCAACTAAATTTGGTTAGGCTTTGGGACAGGGTGTTAGTTGGTGACGGTGCTCTGAGTCCTTCAGGGTTTAGTGATCGTAGGGTTCGAGGTGTTGGATTGAGGGTTGGTGGATAGATGTACAGCGGTTTCAGGCAGGTTGCGGGAAGGAGGTGGGGGAGGAGGGGTAGGAAGGGGGCAGGGAGGCAGGCACAAGGACCCGGGGCGGCCGATGAAATTACTCGTTGTGCGTGGCGGTATTCTGCACTGGTAGATACAAGAATTTCGATATGCAGGACGTCCAGAGTCTAGGCCGTGTGACAGTATAGGCTTGATCCTGCTAGTACTGCCAGTACTTACTCTCTTTCTGTGAGCCGTGCAGCCCCCAAGGCTAGCAACTACCATCGGCAGTAAACCACAGCCCCTGAGCACAGCACCCCAGCAACAGCTTCCTCCATGTTTGTGTCGAATACTCCAGCGAGTTCCTTAAGCGATGTCCATGAAGTGGGGAAAGGGATAAAGCCTCAGGTTGCGCGATGCGCGTGCCAATGGACTTGAGCGCGGTGACAGAGTCCATGCCTCTGGACTGGGCTCAACAAACAATGCATGCGGTATTCGCAGATTCTGCAAGCAAGTACTCAGCGTCCAGGATTTGTCTTATTCGTCTCGCTTAGTGCTGCTATACAGAACTTTTTTCAGCAGAGCGAGTTCCCATGAACGACAGACATGTCGCACCTGCGTTAACCATGTTCATGTCGGGGAGGATGGGTGATTACGAGGCCCCATCTCATTGAGACACACTCTTTGACACCCCTGTGTGTGCACGTATATAACTTCTATGGACTCAGCTATGAAAATCCGGCAAGACAGTATAAAGTGTCAAAAACTGATTTTTGAGGTCGGAATGTGCCAAAGAAGGTCAGCCCTCGGCAAACAACAGCCAAGCAACGACTTGTGCAACATCAGAGGCAGATCTGAACTAGCAGGATTCAATTACCACATTCGGTGCTACTGCTGTTGTCGGGTTTTTGTGCGTGATTTCTGGGCCAATTTCGGCTTGTCTTGAATGTCTGCCCTGGGCTCTTTGCCATGCGCATGCAAAGCAGCACTTATCTGGCACGATAAAGCCCTGGGATCGGCATGGCCCTGTCAACGTCACCTAGATCCTGTTCGCTTCGGAGTGAGCTGTCCTAGGAAATTTGCAGACCGATGCATTTTGAAAGGCGGAAGACTACCTAACAAGATGCAAAATAAAAAGAAAAACGCCGCCTTGCTGCTGGCTTACCACAGGTTGTTGCAATACTCGTGAAAAGAGTGAGTTTTTCTCCTTTGTGGTATGCAGGCAAATCTATCGTCTCGCATGAGACGTGGGTCAGACCAGAAGTTAACACGAGAGTCCGGCTGAGCTTCAGCTGCGTGTATGCATCCAATTGAGAGCCCAAGCAAGCAGCGAAACCTGGGTGAAGCTTTGTCTCAACGGTTCAACAAATTTTGTACAACATCGTAGAGCTGCTTCGTGCAGCCGGGTTGGAGTTTCATTTGCAGTTGGAAGCGAAGCTACTGATTGAAGACTGCGCGCATGAGTAACTGCCTAATTGACTTAGTAACACTGCGGGCGGGCCTGTGGGCTGGAGGCGAGAGGGAGTGAATGTTGGGTGAGTGAGCTGGTGGAATTAGAGTCCAGTTTCTGCATTGGAAATACTTAGGAAAAACTCACAGATGCACTAGAGTATTTGCATAGCCACTGCAAAGCCTGCGTGGCTGTGGCATGCATATCCTCTTCCGCAAGATATCGCTTGCTGAATGTACCCCGCATTTCTGTCCGAGGAGGTGGGCTGGTAGGCTTGTCGAGAAGCTGCCTCACCTTATGCAGAAGCTAAAGGACAACCCACATCCGCTTCGACAGCCCCAACAGTGGAGCCAAACATGTGAAAGGTGAGATGCATACTGCGACGGCTGCTGAAGTCGCCGAAGGGCCGAAGCAGCGAGCATTGAATGCTTCAGCTGTGCTAGTCTCCTCCCATGGAGAGGGATGCAACGGGTGCTGCCAGCAAGCCTGTCAACGGGGAGTGGCACACGGTGGACACATGCCAGCGAGAAGCCACCACCAAGAACCCTGCGTCGCCGAAGCACGTCGCAAAAGAGACGCTTCGTTGAATCATAACTGGATGAGCAGTGGTCCCCGGTGTGGCGTCGATCGGGTGCAGTATTGATACACAAGCCTCCGCCATATCCTGTAAAAGGTATGCTTGCCTTGCTTCTGTTTCGCCGTATCAGTGCAGTATCACGTGTTGATGTACGCTTTTTCTGGTATGTTGCGGCTCTATTCAAAGCGTTTTGGAGCATTCAAGGGGTTTGCTGCATGGTTTGAGACAGCCGCCCAGCAGGACCCAGGCAACGGTCACAAGCGACCGTATCCAACACAAATATTCTAAGTATTCAAGATGATGCGAGATGTGTGCAAGTTTAGTTGGCGTGGGCGTCAAAGGCACGTGCAGGAAGACACATGTTCCAGGAGCCAAGATGCTAGTTGTGAAGCCAATGAAAGTGATGTGAAGCCTCCCGCCAATGCGACATTTGTGAGGTTCGTTTTGATGTGAAGCACAACCGCGAGAAAGGCTGGGCAGTAGAAGCAAGCTACAACCTTGCCAGCAGTGGCATCCGAAAGAAGGCACCAAGTTCATGCGTGGGTTAATGTTAGTCGTGCAGTCGGTGCAACACGTCGTTGGATGAGCCAGTCGTTAAGTGGAGTGCAGATTGTCCGTCGTATGCAGGCAAGAACTTGGCCGTGAATGTTGTGGTGGAAAAGAGTGGCGCCTCCAGTGGCGGCGGGCCCTGACCCCAGAAGGGCGAGCGTAAGAGTCGAGTCAAGGGCTCCAGTGTCCGCAGTGGCAAAATCGTCCTAGGCGCAAGCGCGACCGAGACAGCAGCCGAAATCGAGGCCCATCAAGCAAGGACCGCAAGGATGCTGGAGAGAGCAGGCGTTGTCTCACAGCGGAAAGGCATGACCGGTCGCAATCGCAGATCGGGCTGGGCTCCCAGCATTTCACAGAGTGCAAATTGGCTTGCACCACTGTGGCACAGCTGAGCAGCTCTTGTAAACCTGAGGACGAAGTCGCGACAGCCGCAAAAGCAGCAGAAGCAGAAGCCCTGCAAGGACAGAAGACCCATCGCGGGGGACAATTAACGGCTTTTGTTTGCACTCAGCTCGGAATGCTGCGGGCGGCTGTGCCTTGAGGCCCCACATCCTCTCCACATTCGGTGTCCTGCATCCAGCTTGACTTCATACATCTCTTCCACAGTTCAATTGACTGATTACACTTTTGCATGCATGCTGCCTCACTGGAGACAACCTGTACCGACAGAAGAGACCTCTTTCTGTGCTTCATGCGAGTGGGGCAAGGCCTGTCTGCCAGACGCAGGTGCTGGAGGATGCTAGCTGCTAGAGGAACGATGTATCAGTAAAAGCAGCAGCCTCGAGCGTGGATGTCAGGAAATTACAATACTGGAGCTTTTTAGGCGTGGACTTTGGGTATTCTGACATATTCCCAAAAGGGTGATGCATCCTTGGCGCTTCGCAGGAGGAGGCGGGACAACAGCAGGGAGAGGTCACGCCCAGCGCCTAGTGTGCATCCCACATTCCCTCCTGAGCATCGGCTTTTGCTATGCTTGCAACATAGCAGGCGGGGACTAGAGTAGTTACAAGTGCTAACGAGCCACGTCCAGCACGGCACCAGGGCATACCTGAGCCAGCAGGCCTGCATGGCAGTGCATAACAAGGAGGCCACGGCAACAGTGTCATCAACTCGCAGTATCCCTTCGCGGACGGAGAACACATAGCAGGCGCAACGCTGTGCGGATTGCCAGTCAATGAAGAGGACTTGAAGATGACTCGCCCCAGACGTTTGTAACTACACTGTTTTATCAGGATAAGGACGGTAGAAGATCTTGCTGAACATGTCCGACATGAGACGATTGTCTGCTGTCATGTGTCATGGCTATGGTCCACAAGACAGATTAAGAGGGAAGCAAGTTGCATTGCGCCGAAACTATGTAGAATGCAGAATGGCACGGAGATGCCGAGGTGGATCTGCGAAGGCTGGAAGGAGGCTGGGCATGCGAGCACTCTGTTTTACCAGTGCAACAGCAAGAGTTTATGTGGCCGAGTTGAGATGACAGGGCAAATTTCCCTTCCGCGAGTGCCCGAAAGCCAGGAGCGGAAGGTCCGAAACCCGCCAGAAGCGGCGGA